AATATATATATATATATTCAACTAATTTTTATAAATATAAATCTCTCTCTCTCTATTTGCTTCTATGCATAAATTTCTATCATAGAAATCAAACTATTCTAGCTATGTTTGTGTTAATGTTATATCAGCATCACTTTTATGTACCACAAGACCGGCGGAGTTTGTTGAATATTTGATATATTTTCCCGCTTCATCCCCCACAACCAACAAATCCCGATGCAAAACAGCTTGGAGACCGGATCTTCCTCCGAACGAAGTAGTTCTGAGAAATTCGGAGTCGTTCCAAGTTCTGGTATGGTAGAAACAAAGCCATTAGACAATCGAATTATATCACAATTCGAGTACGAATTAATAAACGGACGTAATTACCTGCCGCTCTGCACAGATTCTTCGAGGTGATAATTGAAGGAGCAACACACACCCTCAAACGTGTAAGATATTTTGAATAAGTCGCTGCAGTTCCGCGAAATATTTTCCCACGAACAGTAATCGAATAGATCTTCGCATGGTCGCAAGAGTTTTAAGAAATCCACCATCGACATATGGTTAATTTTTAACAATGCTTTTAAATTGTTTATATGCGCTTTACCACCAGGGACGTGTTCGTTTGTGAAAGCCGGTCCGTATCTAAGAGAAATTTCGTACCTTATCATTGAGTTTAGATATCACAAATTGATTCAGATATCATTTTTTTTTTCAAGAATGACACAATTTGGCGTCGTTTGGATTGTTAACGAAAAATGGACGTACCTGAGCAGGAACATTGCTGTTTCGTTGTCCATATTGTGCGGCAAGCGTAATTTCTGTAATAATTTTTTGCGCGTTGCAGCCAGCGGTGGTATCAATGGGCAAAGGGTGATTGCTGGGAAAGGAATCATATATATCGGAGTCTGAAAGGACTTGATGACGGTGCGAATTGGATTAGTAGTGTAACGTATCCAGAATTTTTGGAGCATCCAAGATAAGACTACAGGAACAATACACATTTGACGAAATTTAATGTATGCTAAATATATTGCCGTATCGTATTTTAATGAATCAATTATAATTAAAAATCATTAAGTGTAGAAATAAATTCTTTCTGACTATTGCCTCAAAGTCACCAAGTTTCTATCGCGATGGCATTTGCAAGCTGTCAATTAATATTAATTTTTTAAATAAAATCGGAAAAAATTTATTTTTACACTTAATACATATATAAAAATATTTTATAATAATATCAGGTAAAAATAATATATGTTTACTACTCACATACGAAACTGGAGATCATAATTACAGCCCAGAACAATCTTCCAAAAATATTATTTTTGAATCGCAAATTGCCGAAATATTTTATGCCGTGTACCGAGCAATCCTGCAGATATTCGCACGAAAGCTGACGAGCCATTTCTTTATTATTTTGTACCGAATGATCGCCATATGATTTGATATCGCCATTCTTGAATAATTCTTTGTTTATCTTCTTCGGAATTTCTACATGATTCACTATAATTCTCTTCACTGCGTGTTGCTTTTTCTGCGAAATGTTTGATAACATATTGCGAGCAAATTAAAAAGTTCGTCACTTTTACAAAGAATGACGGATAAAACTGTTCATTTGATGTACCGACACAATGCTTCTTGTGCGTTATGTTGCCTTTTACTGTTTGACGAGAATCTCGTTGATTTTATCGTACATAAAAGTTGTATTGCTACGATAAAGCATGCAAACGTTGCGTGTCAAGGTTTGCTTTAAATTATTTACTATGCTGTACAAGATTAATGAAATGTATAGATGATGAAGAATCACTTGTAATATTCTGTTGTCAAATAAACATAGTATGTACTTTAAAGTAGATTTATTTTTCAACGAGCGTGAAAGTAAAAATCGATTGTATTCATATAATGAACTTGACACACAGCGCAGCAATATATATGACAGTTCTAAAAAATAGATGAAAATTGAAATGCACACTTAACATTCAATGTTCAATCTTTATTTACAGGATTTCGCAAAAACAATGAAAAGGAATGCCTAGCCTAGACAGCGCGTAAAAATAAATAATACGCAACAAAATATAAAAAGTCATCTATATATACAGAATAGAAAATTAATTATCAAAGATATCGAATTGTGATCACATTTGTTTCATGCCACAAAATGAGTTCTTCTTCTATTTAGCATAGTATTGTAGTGAATTTGCGAGTGCAGAATGTTATGACTATTCAACGATATCGTCACATTGGCTGTCAAAAATCTTGGAACAAAGCTAGTTGATCCGGTGGCAAGGGTGGCTGGGAACGCCAATCGGTTTCCGGATAATCGTCGAAGCAGCTCGCATCACCTGGCGCTTTCACACGTGGCCTTATCGGCGGTGTCAAGGCTCTTTGCGGCACCTGTGAACATTGATCGATCGTTTAACTGTTGCACTTATATTGTTGATATCATCAAATGTAGAGATAGATATAAAATGGTACTTATTGAACAGCAATTTTTCAATTTCTGCCACTTTTTTCATTAATTTTTTTCACATGCCTTATTGCTATCACACAAAATTAATTAGATTATAAAATTACCAGTGGCCACTCGACTAATTTGAACCATCGATGCCTCTTGACGTCCTCAGCACCCTGTCTCATGTTTCCCAATCTCTTCGTCCTATCGGCGATCAACAATTTCTTGATTAGATCCTTTGCGATCGGATCCATGTGCTTCGGCCATTCTATCCTACCGCTCAGGATCTTCTCGTAGATCCCGAAGGGATTGTCGTCGAAGAACGGCGGGTATCCGGCCAACATTTCGTAAATTAAGACGCCCAACGCCCACCAATCCACAGCTTTGTTGTGTCCCTTGCTTTGAATTATTTCCGGCGCCAAGTATTCTGGCGTACCGCACAAGGTCCACGTTCTAAAAATGTAAATGTTAATTATAGCCATGGTCACAGTGTTTTATTATGACGAGCTGTCGAGAAGTAACAGGTGAAGTTACGTTAATTGTACGATATCGTGTGCTTTGCTTCATACAGATGATTATCTAATATAATTTAAACAAAAATTAATTAAGAATTAAGAAAACAAAATGTTACAGATATTTGATTAAATAACATTTTGATACATAAAGTTGTTAATTTGAATTTTCTATATCTTTCTTTTTCTAACAGACTTTTCCTAACAGAAGAATAATATAATTAGTCTTGCATAATTAATTCCCACATATTTTTTTGAAATGTTGTCGTTTTTTTCGATGTCTCACCTGTCCGTTAGTTTCTTCGAAAAGCCGAAATCGGTAATTTTGAGATGGCCTTGACTGTCCAGAAGAAGATTTTCTGGTTTAAGGTCCCTGTAAACTATATGCTTATTGTGCAGGTATTCCAAAGCGCAAACTAATTCGGCCGCATAGAAACAGCTTGTGGGTCCGGCGAATCTTCCGGCCGCTCTCAGGTAAGAGAAGAGCTCTCCACCGGCGACGAATTCCAGAAGCATGTACACTCTGGCTTCGTCCCTGCTGTTCCATAGCCTGAAAAGATGATGAGTCTGAAAACAAGGCGAACAAACCGGGCTGTTACGCGAGCAAATCTCGATTTCGCTCCTTTGGCTGAAAAAGCGTTCCGTCTACGAGCGGATCGATTTCTCTCGTCTCTATCCGACTATTAATCGCGACACGGTGTAAACTAGTCAAGCGACATTTGCGTGTATCACTCTCCTTAATCCTGGCCGCGCTTTCCACATTTAATAATCTTCGTATAAATCCTTTCCTTGACCGACAAACGCATCGTTACTTTCTTTATTTTCTTGAATGATTACTCCGCGCGATCGAACAGTCACGAGTTTTATTTGTCGTCGGAAAATAATCGTGTAAATTTTAAGGTATTATAAATGGTAATGTAAAAGATGAGATAATAACAGATGTAACACTTACATGTTGACGATGAAAGGGTGCTTAACTTCCTTCAGAATCGAGATTTCATTGCGCAAATGCTCGACTTGCTTCAATCTGATCACGTCGACCATGGAGAGAATTTTCAGAGCGAGAGGCGTTTCATGATGCCTGCAGAGAACCACTCTGCCGAACGTGCCTGTGCCTGAAAATTTTATTGGCATTTTTAAATTAATATTGATTAGCAGCACGCACGTTTAAATGTCTCCATAAATTTAAAAATTGCTGAAATTATCTTATATTGCAGCAATCTCAACTTTCCAATATTGCGAATCAGTTTTATGGAATATTAATACTCTCATCATATTACGAAATAATCCTTTATTAATAAGTTAATATATTATATATTTTCTCTTTTTGTTGCCGATACAGCAAGATAGGACAGTCCAATTTCCGCAATTTTTGCGCATTTATCGCCGGAACTACATTCGGAATGTAACATTTACAGAGTTGACCATTAAAGTGACCGTTAATTATCAACGCTCTCGACATTCTTTTTAATCTGATGCACATTGCCCGGCGCGGTCTGTTTAATGTACTTTCCCACGAATGCAGGTGACTCGGTTGTTCTGATTAACGTACCGTAACCAATTAGCGCGCATGCAATGAGCCTTGGCCAAATTAAACCCCGAAATTGACCGTCACGTGTGCAACAACTACCACAAGGTTTTGCATATTTACGCGTACGTGTATTTACGTCGAAAACAGCGCGACCTGCATACAGCAGCGACGAAATTGGTCGCGCAATAAGAGCGGCACGATACCTACGCGTCGTCTACCTACGACGAGGACCGCTGCCAGCGACGGCTCGGAACAGGTGTCAATGGTAAAACGACGAAGCGCTTCCGGTGATGGCGTAGACGCTTTAAATACACATACGACGAATACGCGAATTTAGGTGCAACATCATGCAAACGGTCCCGAGCAAAAATTGCTCGAGCGATCTGGAAGACGTCCGAAAGATGGATATTTTAGAAATTAAAATGTTTTTTGAGATATTTTTTTGCTATTGCGATTTGTTACCAGACGTGCGAACACATCTGGGCATAATAAAGAGAAAAAAAGAGAAATAGAAACGCGGACTAAGTACCTGCAATTTTCCGAACCACTCTCCCACGTAATTCCGACTTTAACGAACAGTTAAATATACACTGGATATCCTCTCACTCTTCGGTGTCCTACTTCCTTACTTCGAGAACAGTACACTTTATTTCGTTTCGCTCGTTCATCTTTAATTCGTGAGAAATATTATTTTTTGATTATTGAATTCTGTTTCTATCATAATTTATAATCAAACAAATATATTTATCATCCACGAGTTTATTTGCAAACATAAAAATTTGTTATTGATAATTTTTTGTCAATAATGTAAAAAATAAAATTCCTCAATTTGCAATTTTATATAACTGTTTGTACAAATAATATATAAATATATCGACAACATTTAATAGTTTTCACTAAACTGAAATTGAAAATTGCGCGAATTGTGATTTACTTATTCCTAAAATTTGTGCGGTTAAAAAATATGCAGAAATATAAATTAAATAATAATTATATGATAGTTTAAAGTACAAAATATCACTAGTCGATTTTTTACTAGAATAACATTTTCGGACTTACCGATAGTCTTGATAATTTCCAATTCGTCGATATCGTATCGCGGCGGATCCTCCTGCGATCCCTCATCATCAGACGTGTTGTCGCTCGACATCGTTTACGGACTACTGCAAAATTGTGAGAGAAAGTTTCTGATTTATTTCTCTTGCGCACCTCGACACGTGGAAAGAAGAAAGGAAGCCCGGTTCAATGATCCACACTGTGATATTCTTAGACCGCGTACCAATGACGACTTGCTCTCATATCTGTTCTTCGTGACTTCAACGTGACTCCTCGAGTAGCTTTATTGTTTCCTTATGCAACGGATCCAAGTCCAAGCAAATAAAAATTACCAGGTACTTTGATCGTCTTCAAAGACGCGCTCTTTGGATCTTCCTTAAATGAAAAAACGCTTCGTCGGTGCGATCGGTGATATTTTCAACAAGTGCTCTTGCGAAGTATTGCTCGAAAGTGAATCATACGAACGTTTCTGTTAACGATTCTCCTTCCCTTTAAGCTCTCGCTCGGAGCGGTGAAAATGTGTGCGTTGATTTCACAAGTGTCATTTACCAAGTTGCGTAGACCGCAGTCGCTTAAAACACGCGTTCGAACGAGTTCACTTTTCAGATTTTCCCGCGCAGCGAGGCGGCAAACAATTTTATCGACCAATTTTATCGGATCCTGAGCTTGTAGCACTCAGATTAAATATCATTAGAAAAAGAAATGAGCTGTTCGTGTGATTGCGAACGCGTCACGCGAGCATTACTGCGATTTTTGCTCGAGGATACCGCACGAGTGGCATTTGCAATCAGAAAGGTAGCATTTACCATTCACTTTGTGTTTCCAGATATTACATTTCCCATGATCAAGTTATTATCTCTGATTTTAAATTCAATTCTATCTTCCACTGTGCAAATTTAATTTTTTATATTTCGTGATTTAGGAATAACACATTAATTAGCAGTGACATGTAGAAGTTGAGCGGCGCACGTGATTGTTAGTTGTCTGCTTCCCAGAATTGTTAAATTGCACTAGCACTAATGTGACTTGTCAACAGCCGAACACATTGCCGTAGAATTATCTTGTGTTATTTTTTCGTTCATTCATCGAATTGATCGGTTGAATGAGCGCCGTAAGCTAGTTGAAGGATGATTATCGTATCATCCTTGGACCCTGCGCAGCATGCGGCTCGGCTGCCAACCAGAACTAAACTGGTCACCGAGGGATCTCAAAAGACAGTCTATCCTTCTGTGTTGCCCCCTCTCTTTCCTTTGACCCCCCATCCCCTATTCACTCCCACCTCGCGCGTACTGTTACTGAACGTCTGTATCACCTAGCCAGAGAGATTTGTCGAAATCGCAATAGAAACCGGAAAATACAGTGATATGGCGCGCCGAAACGAAAGTGGTTTGCCAAAAAACCTGGCGACTGATAAAAGCGGACGCAAAAATATAAATCGCCCGCTCTAAATTACATCGGTTTTGTTTTGGCGAGCGCGCGGTTGCGTCAACCCCGTAAATGCGGGGGCTACTTTTATCAAAATTCATTGGAAACACCGAGAGATTAACCGCGGCGCCGCCCCTTCGGGTCTGTCTGACGCACCGAAAATCCATTTTATGAATCATTCCGGATGAGTGTATCCCAATATTTTTATCAGTATATTCATCGAGGGGAAAGTTTGCCGTTGTGAAAGCTGATACGCGACAGTCTCTTATCAACGCGAAACATCGAGATACGGTGAATCTGCCGCGGTCATCGAAGTGTGTAGGTCATTTTGGAGCGGACATCCTCGCTGTCATGCTGTTTCGCAAATCGATTATACACTGTTGCTAAAAAACGAGACGAAGCGGGCTACTCACGATCGGGCGATTCCTTCGAATTTCGACTTATTTTTGAATTTGGCGATCGTCCAGATGCATTTTGCCACCGACGCTCGACGTCGCGATGACTGACGACACCTATCGAACCCCCACTGCCAGCCCAAGCCCCCATAAATTGCAGCTTTTATATTTATCGCTATGCGTTCTCGATCCGCGAGCGCGTCGAAAGCACGTTCGCTGATTTTGTATCGGAAAAATCGGATCAATGAGAGCAGCGAAAATGCGATTCATCGTTTCGCTGATTCAAGTTTGTAAAAAAATATCCACAGAATACAAAATAAATTATCGTCACGAATCCGTGACTCTGTCCTTTTGTAATACTGGGGCGTCCCCTTATTTCGCAATCTTTTATTTAACATCTGTATGATTGTTATATAACGAGATATGCAATATATGTAGCTGTAAACGCGTTGCGTGTTACATATTGCGTCAGCTTGCAAAACAAATTATTGACTTGCACCTGTTTTATTCATACGCGACACGAGATCGCAGCTGAAACTCTTTGATGTTTTAACTATTTGGTCGATACTTCTCCGTTAAAGTTTGTTGCGTGGTCTTGTATCGCTGCCTCGTTCCATATAATACGCAGTGTGATTAGATAGACCAAACTAAAAATAATAGTTTCCCGGAAGTTTTACCGTGTGAAGTCATTCAATGCCAAGACGAGTATAAGCCTTAATAATTACGTATTACCGGCTTCGTACGTACGTATACTGAAATAATCTCTGTTTATAAAACAGCAATACGCGATATTACGCTCGGTATTCGTGCAAATGTAATAAACATTGCTTTTGTGCATATCGGATTACGTAAAAGTTCTGGTCATCGATTACTCAATGAAACGCAACAGAGTTACGGCTACCGGTAGTCAACCGGTTTAAATCGGATTATTCTACTAGAATATCAAGCGCAATATTTTCTTATTAATGTATTTATAACCCACAGATGGCGGGAAAAACTTGTAAGTTTCAGCAGGGCGATGAAAAACATATACTATACATATGATATAAAGTATATAGCGACATTCGCTATATACTTAGCGAAAAGATGTAGCCGATGCTGAGCTGTTATTTTTCAGAATCACATCATTAACATTCGAACAAATACAGTATCGGATTACCGCCACATATTTCAGTCGGTAGCTATGTTTGCACTAACGTGAGAAATGAACGCTTTTAGCGTCATTTTGCGGACGCGAATGAGCCACCAAAACCGTCGTCGTGATCGATATATTTGTTGCGAAATTCTGATTTTCATCATAGGTCAATATTAGTATTCGCAATGACAGTAATTGAAGATTGATAGTTTGTAAAACAAACTGCAAACAACATACACGCATTAGCAGAGAGAAATTGAATTTGGCAGTTGAGAGAGTATAAAAAAAAATTTGATTTACCGTGTGATCGATACTTCGAAAAATACACAAGTTTACAAAAATATATAAATATGCGAAACAGTAATAAATTTTCCACAATTTGTTTCACTTCACTTAAATCTTGTAAAGCTCGTCGATGTAGAAATAAAATCATAGATGTTTTACTCTTCCCTTCTTGATTTAATAAATTATCGGCTTAAACTCTATACGTTTTCTGATTCATTCGCCAAATATATATCGCATTATCGCGATGCTATTTTCGACTGTTATTTTCGATACATATATTTATCATCCTTCTCGTACTCTGTGACATATGAAACATCACGGCGTTCTCACGGTGCGAATAACGGTAAACGTCGGTGTCAAAACTAGCGGCGTAGAAGTTCCCATATCTATTTTTCAAGGAGACCGAGTCGAGGAAGTCGTTGGTCAGCGTGACGTCAGTATCGCCTACGATTTCTGGATGTGGATCAAGTTCGTGTCGGTACCTAGAAACCAAAAGAGACGGTTAGACATATCACTCCGATACATTAGTCGAAATTTTGTACTATTGTTAAAGCTCCGACTACTTCTGCCAAACGTCTGTCTAAGTGGCGTCCAATCTTTTAGACGCTTCGCTGACGTGATTAATGTGCTTCGTTAGGTTTGATACCTTTGACAACTTCATTAAGTTTATCAGCGGCGAAGGCCAGAGACCGGAGAAGTTCGTAGGCATTGTCCGCTTCTCTTCGTAGGCATCTTCTCAATAGTTACGAAGCCGACATTTTCCACAATGTAACAATTATTAGCATGAGTCATCGACCCACCTTGGTATACAGCGCCTAAGTGAGCATTGTGATATACGTATGCACATTTATTAACCGTGTTCGCTAGTGTTTGTATCTGTGTAACGCGGAACATTGCAATAAACATAGTAATTAAACCAATTTTCATTTTTTTCATTCAAGCTTTTTATCCGAGATTGCAAGAAGATTGTTCAATAGATTTGCTGAATAATGATAATATTTCTTTTCACAATTAAGAAAAATTTTATATTATTATAAAAATCTAATATTAATCTACGCATTAACAACACACCTAACGCTTATGTCGCGTACTGTATCTTCGACATGCGTTTACGTATGCGTGTGTCGTGACGACGTCTTACACAGACAAGAGGCAGGCGAAAAATATACGCGCGCGCGTGTAGCTAATCGGCGGTTCCCAGGAGCGCGAAGGTTTCGCTCAGTGTTTTCAGGCTTCCACGAGCGATCCCACGGTGACTTCCGGTTCCGCGCTGACTTATCCACTTCCCGTTGCTACGACAATTTTCCGCTGGTACCACGCTGGGTGCTGAAAAAAAATCAAGTAATAACGTTGTTATGCGCACGCACAGGTCACGGTTCGCTCCTACATGCGAGAGATTTAGCGTTTCAGAATTTTATCGTCCGTTATTAATTATGCACGCTGCATTAATTATACATTAATCTCGGTGAAATCTTCCATCGTTATGAATTATGAATGAGCGCAGCTGCGACGTTTTCGTGATAAGGAAGTACAATCGAGTGAAAACATCTTGACAATTGTTTGTTTAGAAGAGAATACACCGAACCGACATGAAGGAATGCGTACCACCGAGAGAGATTTAATGCAGAAATGAGACGTTACGTGTTTTTCTTTCCTGTCCGGTTTGTATCGCGCTCGACATGGCGCAGGTGCTTACCTGGGGAGCCAGGATGCAGCCAGGCCTGTCTGTTCGTTCGTCTGACCGTCGTGCAACTCAACCTGAAACCGGAAGCGCCGCTTTCTGCCCTGCTGCCCACGAACAATGAGATCGGGCGAGATTCCTGGGAGGACGTGAGCACGATCGAACTGCGAGGTGTTTTATCGACATCGAAGATCGAAAATACTCATTTCTCCGACTGAAAACCTACGAATTGAAACGTCATGTCTAGTTGCGTAAGCAGCGCGGTGTTTAGAACGTCACGTCACTACTTCCTGCATTCTTTAAAAGCACGTCGGAAGGAATAGAAAATCCAATTTTGCCACACGCTTCCAAATTTGACACGTTTTCAAATTCAATTTTTTCGGTTCATAGTTATTTTTAGAATTTAAATAATTCTTTTATGTCATACATGATAAGCTTCCGCAAAAGTTTTTCTTTGGTTAATTTACAAATGATATAATTTGTTCAAAGACATCCGATAAGAAAATAATTTTTCGATGTCTCAAAATAACTCGTAGAGTGTGAATATTGATGTTTTCATGACATGTAGATGCACCGCGACACCGTATAATGCGGCACGGAGACAATCGAGAAAATCTTTTCACGGCCACTATCGTTACGTGGTATGCGTACGTACAGCAACAGGTGTGACGCAACAGGTAATCAAATGTCGGTATTATGATTTGCTCCTCGCCGAATCCACCAATTGTTTCTCGTACTTGTTTACGATTTAAGCAATCTTTGCAGTTTCTTAATGATTATTTCGATTAAAAATGCGATAGATAACATTTATGTAAATTTATCTAATATATTTTTCTTAAGAAAAATAAAATATTCTAAAAATTGTAAGAAATATGGATGGAGTGTTTGCTAAATTTTGATTATATTGCACATAAATGCGCAAATAGTTACGAAAACCTCGAAATGAATTTTAAGCGAAATTTCTTCGCATTTTGCTTTACGTTGACCGATTCTGTATGTGAAGTTCTAGTGAAGAATCCTCTACGGAGCTGTCACCGTGCTTTTTCCGCGAGCTTCTACGAGCGATGATGATGAAGAGTACGCATTTACCTGCCTTAGTCGCGCGACAGGTGGTGTGTGACACGACTTAAGTCGCGTCGCGAATCTGCCTGAGGGCCTTGACGCGGTCTTTTTTTCCGGGGCATTTTCTTCTTCTGCCTTCGCAAAGTCCGTTTCCGGTTGTTTCTGTCTCTCCGTTACGCTCCTTTCTTCACTCCTCGTCCCGTTGTCATCGTTGTCGCCGTCGTCGTTCGTCGCTACCGTCGTCGCGGCGCGACGAAGCGGACATTCCGCTCGACAAATGCGCTTTGCCGTGACTCTCATCCACGAAGCTTTGCGATACGTTCTTGTACAGGAGGAGGTCGTTGCTCGTTGCCAAGCGGTTGCTTGCCACGTGTACGCGCGGCGCCTCCGCGACTCGCGAGAAATAAAGAGAATAGAGGCGAGCTGCTGGTCATAGTTGCATGAAAAGAAATTTTAACTTAGCCGACTTACCATGTTTGTTAAATGCGAATTGTTTTGAAAATGAAGACATGCAGCCGAATTAAAATGAGAGCAATTTAAGGCAATTTAGATCTCTTAAAGATTAGAGAGTTAATATCGCAATCTATCATGAAAAAATAAGTATCGCTATAAATTTGATTCTAAGTGTTAATAATAATGTTAATGTTATAAGATTGGATATAATATTTTACTAATTGCATTACACATATAAGCAAAAGATCGAGGAATTAAATAATTCTTGTCTCACGTGTGGCTGGCGATATTCATGGTGGAGCGAACGATGCTGGCAATGATGCGTGAACAGGTTGATCGGTCCGTGTGTAAGTATCACCTATGCGTTTATAAACTGAACGGACGTCGACAGACGTTTTATTGTTAATGATGCGGATACATGAGCAAAGGAAAATGATTTCCCGGGCTTATGTCGCTGTAAGGCCGGACGCTGTGTATGACACGGGAGCTCCACGGGCCTATTGCTTAAATCCCCCGTGAATTCTTCCAGTGCCATTTACAGAAACCAAGCCGAGAGACAAGCCCGGAGAGAAAATTGTACAATTGTATTTTCATCTCGGATGAGCTCCACTGCTGCTTCGTGCGCGCGCGTACGTGTCGCTGAAATTCTGACAAGGAAAACTTTGAAAAATAAGAATCGATAATGTCAACGATCTTGGAGAAACGGCAACTTGTTGCGAGATTCTTTAGATGCACACGCACGATCGATTGAAGTCGCTCGTGCTGTTGAAACTTTATCTGTTGAGCGCTATTGTATTTTCTAAATATTGAGAGCTGTTCTCAATCGCGCGGATATTATCGATTCGACGTCGCACCGAGAGACAAGTCAGGAATAAATCAAAGCGAAAAGATGTAGCGTTATGATAAAGGCTGAAAACGCTGAACGATCGTAACGTAGTGATAGAAAGCGAGCCATTAATCTCGGTATACAATTACGACAGCGGAAATGGATCTCGGTATTAATAGCCAAAGTTATATCGGATAGGTCGAAGTTTACTTTGAAAATTTCGCATCATAAATCAGGAGTCTGGAACGGAATTAGTTCGATTTGTCTCCGCGAAAGAAAACAGCACCCGAAAAAAAGACAAAGTCGCGAAGGAAACAACGAAGCGGAGTTCGCGACGGTAGTCCAAAGTCTGTCAACTATTTCTTTTCTTCTTCTTGCTCTTCCGTCACGGATCGATGACTCTTCCCGGAAGCCGTGTCTGCCAGATATCGCGGAGCGCGCCACGATTTGAACGCCCGGCGTTCTCCACGCTCGTCCTTCAAACTCCACGTCTCGTCGTATCTCTCCTTCTCACTTCTTCTGCTCGCCTCTCGATTTGCTCGCTCCCACCCACGAAATCGTTCCCACCGATTCTTCAGGTTCGACCAGCGCCGTACTGTCGGGTTCTCCATGTTGGGATATGCCTCCTGTCCTCTTCGTCTTTCCGCAGGCTATAATCTAGCGAAGTATACATCTATCTATTCCGTCTTTTCCTAGTCATGTCTAATATACAATGTGGATCTGAAATTGTAGTCCATCTTAGAAGTTCATGACTGAATTTAAAGTCAGTTATTTCTTAGTAAAAATTACCGCTAATAAAAAATCGATTTCTGTGACAATATATTTGGAAATATAAAAGTATTTGACGTATGCATTACGTTAAATATATTAATTTCCAATTATCTCATAATAACTAAAAATGAAGCAATAATTCTGTATCGTCGTTTAAAATAATCAATTACCGGAAAAAGAAGATTAAAAAGTTTTCACGTTACCTATTAATTTTTCATTTTCGAGAAGAGAACCGACCCTTTTTTTTTACCTCTAATGAATCACGTACATGAGTGGATGTGGCAGCGCAGTTTGATTTCATTCATTTCATGCTGATTAAGATAAAATCGATCCGCGACCGTCGAAAATGATCGAGATGAAATTCACGGAGGAATCGATTTTGCGTTATAACGCGGCGAAATGATTTATTTATGGAGCGAGAAAGCCGCGGATCCGCGGGAGCAACGCGCGCTCCTTCGAGTTTTCCCGTCTGGTTCTCACGATTCGAATCTTCTCAGTGCGCCGTGTATATACTTGCGATTCTTCGTCGACTATCTGCAAGTCTCTCAGTTCTCAAGCCATTCTTCCGGTCATGCCATCATTCTGGTTCTCACGGCTTACTCGAACATCGAGAAACGCGGCACGGAAATAATGGCCGCTCGCAGAAGTCTTTTAATACACGCCGCGGTTAAGTACGCTATATAATAATTATTTCAGAAATAATCTGATCGCGTTCCTCCATTTAACGATGTCGATATGATTTACGTTAACTCGTCGGAACATCTTATCGGGTCTTCGAAGCCGTAAAAAAGGATATAAAGTATGTCAGTCAGAGCCATTCGTTGGTCTCGTCAAAGAAAGACACGCGTATTTTCGCGGGCTGTTTGTTCCACAAAGCAGTTATTATTAGGAAATGATTTATTTCCAAAGTTTTTATCGTGACATGTGAAAAAAAGAAATTTTTTAAATACCTCATAAAAAAACAACATTCTGTGCATGTGTTTGAGTATTATTAAAATTGATAGCGGCATAAAATTTGTTTTATTTCTAATAATAAAGAGTGCAGAGCAATAATAAAATATTAGTAATGTTAATCTTAAGAAATATTAATATTAATGCAATATTTTTAGTGCTCTACTGCCAGAAAACAAAAGATCTCGATAGATTTGTAAATACCGTTTTTGCTACAATCAAGTTCTGGTACAGCAACGGAAGGTTGCAAGATTTCTCTTTGACAAGTGCAAAACTTGTCTGTTCGGGATGGAATCAGACGTAAAATTCGTATCGCCTCGCAAATTGAGACGCAGCGGGTTGTGCTGTCAGGCCGGCAGGGTCTGTTGATTTGTATAAATCAAGATACACAATGATTGCGAAAACGCGAACGCGTGTCTCGGGCGTGTTTAAGCCCCCGTTTCGCGATCTCGTAACTCTTCGAACAGGTTTTGTGTGACCTCGACTTCTCTTCTCGTTGGAATGTCCGCTCCTCTCCGTCTTTCCTCTGTGATCCATGCTACGATACGCCGCGCGATTCCAATCGCTCTTCCGTGTTGCGATCGACGCACGATGATGTATCTGAATCGAAGGCACGTGATTAAGAAGAAAATTAACATCCACGATTGCTTTCGTCACCGTGCAGCCACCTTATTAATTTACAATCAATCATCAGTGCCAATGATCGCAGATTTTAAATGTAAATTGCACGTTATTGTGTCAATGCAATGTGTACCCATAAGATAAAATACAATAATGAATAAATAAATTATTAATAAGCAATTGGAATTATCAATGTATAATTAATGAAATATAATAAATAATAAAATCTTATCAGGAATTGCTTTTGTGTGTAATCCGTCAAACCTTTTTTATCTGTTTCATTTTTGTCGGCTTGTTTAAAGCACGTGAAAGAGCGGTTTATAGTTTGTATTAAATTCACGCAATGCGCAATAAATATTGCTACTTGATGTCGAGTCGTGAGTAAGAGACGTTACAATTCGATCAGACAAAAACTTCCTTCTTGAAGTAGAGAGTAGCACCTTGATACCGTGACGAAAAGATTTCACGGTGACGCAACGATATCTAGGACGAGAGAATAAATGAATCGAGAAGGTGAGGATAATTGATGTTGGGAGGGGTGAGGCTGTGAAAACAATAAAATACCAAACGAGCCCTGGGACAACGGCCCCGACGCTCCGTGCGCGCTTCGTGACTTTCGAAATCTTATTAAATCACGACATAGACGCGGCGTAAGAAACGTATAATATTATTGCGAGTGAGCTGATAAAAAAATTACAGTACGATACGTCATACATTTGCATATTCGCAAAAGTGACATGCCTAAAGCGACAGGCTAAAGGCCGGGAAAACTCACATTTATGAGATAACTTTATACATTTTCATATCGAAGTTATGTAACTTCTAACGGCTACTCGCGTTCCTTTTGTTACGGCAGAAACTCACGAGATTATTCGCGTAGAGCCTCTTAAGCTGCGCTCGCGTGATAAGTCCTCGATAACCGTCGCCGTGCTGTATATTTGTGAGCTACATCCGAGGCATTTGTGATTCCGCGCGGAGGCAGAACGACGTTGGATTGCGCGAAACCTCGAGCACTCGTTTCGTCGTAGAAGTCGAGGAACGTACGAAGTTCCGGATTTACGTAATCGTGGGAGGAGGGATTTCTAACGTATTCGCCGTTAACAATCGACGGCACGGCCAGCATCTCGTCATTCTCCTGCCGACGCTGCCATTCTTATTTCGCGATTTCTCAGCCGCGCGCTGTTTTTCATGCCGAGGTCGGAGTTGGCGAATAACGGTCACCGGTACCGGAGGACACTGACCCGATGAAAATCGCGGATACACAAGAAAGAGAAACCGTTGGAAACGTGCCCCTTCGCGAGTCCCAAAGAAATAGATTTCACCGGCGATCGTTAGCCGCGATAATAAAAACACCGCGGCGTTTAATCGTTTCTAGCAATTCGTTCGAAGATCGTATTACAATTTCGTGTCTAAGAGAATAATAATCGTGCGGACTTTCATTTGCGGCGCGTGTATCAATTAGCAGACGCAGCATCTGTGGGCATTAAATAGTTTTCAAGTGCTTTCACATGCATTTTTGCAGCCGTAAGATTATTTTTTGATCGCCGACCGGTTTCGATCTAGAAGGGATAAAGATGTTGATCAGATTTAATCAATCCTCTCGTCTTAGTAATATCCGCTCGTCGATTACCCGCGCCTCGCTCCCGCCGTACTGAATGAGTATATACCTGGTACCGATCGCTATCGGTAACGATTTTCTCCTTACAATCCTCCGCAAGCTGCTCTCGCCCTTCTCCCTTTCCTTCGTAGGTACATCGTTACGAAAGGTCCGTGAA